TGAGAAATGAGGGGGCGGAAACTGCTCTTCTACTCTTCCGCTCCTGACTGACTGCCTGACTCTGTGTGTGGAGAGAGTCTTATCTATGTAGTGACTAGAAAGGAAGCCCTGTTTAGGGAAGCTTTTAATGTTTAATAGGTTATTGTATTTTAGTGTTTTGTTGGAAGCCGCCCAGAGTGGCTGGGGAAACCCAGCCAGACGGGCGGGGTATAAATAATAAATTTATTATTATTATTATTATTATTATTATTATTATTATTAATGGCTGAGTGGGAGATGTAACACTCATGCAAGCCAGTAGTTCGTTAGTTTGTAGTAGCTATTAAAAATAAAAGGAGTTATGCTTCACAGCTAGCTTCCGCGTTATTTATACTCTGCATGAGTCTGGTGCTCACAATGCACAGTTGTGGGTCCAGTGCACTGGGACCTGCTTTCCAGGATTGGAAGGTCTCTGAAAGTGCTCCAGTCGCCTAGCCCAGTCAGGTCAGAACCTGTTATTGGGCCCATTCGCTGACATCAGTTGAAAGGCGTACTGACACGGAGTTCATGATGTGCTCCTTCTGAGGTAGTTTGTCCACCTTTGGTCCCCACCCTGCACTCAGCTCTCACCTGTGGCTCCTAGACGGTGTCAGCGTGCAACAGTGGTCACATGCCAGGATCAGCTTCAACTGGCCGGTTAAACCAGGTGAGGGTACCCAATGGGTCTCAAACCCTCAGTGAGTTATGGACTTCCCCTGCATGTGTAGACAGGCTCAAGTGGATTGAGCAGATGAGACAAATAGTGGGTCCCACAGTCAAGATGGTGGTTTCCGCACATGCTGCAGAGGGAAGTGAGAGACAGATGGGGCTCAACAACATAAGAAGGTAGCTCTGATCCTAAATCTCCTCTGCCTTGCGGGATATCGTCAGGAGAAGAAAAGGCTAAGGAATACACCCAACACAAATCTGGAGTGGAGTCCCTAAAACAGTTGGATGGTGCCTTGCATGACTCTTTCCAGCAACTCCTGCAGCAAAGTTGGTGCCATACATATGGCTCTGCTTTTCTTTGAACCACATCAGCAAGGCTGAGAGGAGTCTTGTCATCTGGGCAGCCCAGAACCTCCATACACACTGCACAGGCATGTGCTCTGGGGAGGTCACTTTAGTGCAGCTAAAATAGCAGTTCAACTTCCCCCAAAAATGTGGGTGCCTTTTCAGACAAATGGATGCCGCCAACAACAACAACCTACACTTACTCCGCCTGTAGCAAGAAGGAAGTGTTAAGCCTCAAGCCCATTCCCCAATTTTCCTCAGGGCAAACCTCCTGAACAAGCAAAGTTCCACATCAATATTTTTGGAAAGCTTGTTTCCTAGGATACTTAAAGAACTCTAACAGTTTGAACAGATCAATACATATATTCATAAGTTTTCTCCTTACAGCTCTGATAAAAAAAAAACATCAAAATGTAGCTTTTCAACTCCAAATGACAGCTTCTCTTCCTATAAAAATTGATTTATGGAATTAGGTTACCAACTGCATTCATCTAACACAGCCTTCCCCAACCTGGTGCCCTCTGGAACTCTGGCCAGCACAGCCATACAATAACATGGAATATGCACAAGGTGCAATTGTAAATCAAATGTTCAATTCTTTCAATTCAATATATAGGCTGTGACAATACCAAAAGCAGCATGGTTAAACCAAAAGATACAGTTCTAGTTGATAAGTAAACTTTTTTCCTTCTCTGAACTGTTGCCCGTATAACAATAATGTATTCTACATCCAAAAAGTGCCTTGAGAAACTACACTAAATGAGCAAAAGCCTGTAAACAAGCAAAATACCTTGTTGTCTATATAAGCAACAGAAAAAAAGGATTAAAATCTAAGATGCCAGTTGGAAACAGAGACAAAGGATACAGCTACATTTCTTGTGAAACATTCTATCATTAATATTTGGAAACATTCTAAACCTTTCATCAAGTATAGTTCTGTAATTTCCAGTTTCATGTTGTTGTTGGTTTTTTTAAAAAACAACAACACCTGAAAGAGTATGTTGTGGACTACTGATGCATACTATTATGTTTCACCACCACTGCTGTACATACAACTACAGTGGTACCTCGGGTTAATTACTTAATTCATTCCAGAGGTCCGTTCTTAACCTGAAACTGTACTAAACCTGAAGCACTTTAGCTAATGGAGCCTCCTGCTGCTGCCACGCCGCCAGAGCACGATTTCTGTTCTCATTCTGAAGCAAAGTTCTTAACCTGAGGTACTATTTCTGGGTTAGCAGAGTTTGTAACCTGAAGCATATGTAACCCGAGGTACCACTGTACCGGTATCTGATATGAAGCAGCAAACAGGAATAATGGAATCCATAAAAGAAATCATTCCTCCATGTTCAAGCACTGGGAGACACTGTAATGCTTCGTGTAAATTTGTGGCGGCTAGGGAAAGCACCCACTCTCCAAATATGTAATAAGATTTGAATACAGCACTAGCATTAAAATCAATTTCAAATACAAAACAGACCCAGACTGGAATAAAAATATCCACTTAAAAAGCTTATTGAAAAAGGAAAGTCTTCAATAGGCAGCAAGACAACAGCTGTCTGATGTGCAGTGGGAGGAAGCTCTAAAAGGCTACCTGCTGTCACAGTAAACAAGATTCCTACTTCATACAGAATGGACCTCTTGATGAGATGGTATCTACAGGGTGCCCTCTCCTGCAGAGAACAATGATCAGCTGGGTATATAAGGGGTGAGACAATCTTTTAGGTATTCTGGTCCCAAGCTACAAAGGACTCTGTACACCAGTACCAGAACCTTAAACTTAGCCTACTAGCTAACTGGCAGCAAGTGCAGCATTTTCAGTAGTAGAATAACATTATGGCAGTGACTGATCATTGGGCAGCCTACGTTGATGCTTTCTACACAAGCTGTAGCGTCTGAGCCCACATAGAGTGCATTGTAGTAATCCAACATTAAGTTTACCACAGACAATCGAGCTATCCTGGTCCAGAAACAGTTGCCGCTATCTTTCCTGCCAAAGCTGGAAAAAGGCACTCCTAGCTACTGAAGTCACCTGAAGTCAGAGAGATGGATCCAGGAGCAACCCAACTATGAGCACGTTCCTTCAGGGGGAGTACAACCCCATACAAAACAGGAAATTTCTCATTCTCCCTGTAGTCCCCTGAAAAGCTGCCCTACAAGTTGAGGGATCCTCCAGAACAACATGTGAAGTGGTGCTTGGGTATGCAAGAGTGAGAAGGGGAAACTGGCAAAAAATCATTTCCCCTTCCTCTGGTGGGAGGCACCAATTGATCAGAGACCATTCTGTTCACAGATGGGCATGTCTGGACCCAATCCTTTATTATTTGATTGGGGTTTTTTTTAATCACATATTTCCATAAGACCAATCATACTGAAGGGGTGGGGAAACTATTTTGGTTGAGATGTTACCCACACATGTGACATCTTATAAGAGGTTTTTTTTTCCTGAATGAGAAAGAAGGGTAAATGTCTCTTCTAAGGCAATTTCTGCCACCCATGGTTTTAATGTACCTGCATTAAGAACAAACAATGGCTGTGCACCATTTCAACTGATAAAGTGTGGTCTTTTTTTTAATCAACTAACTAAATATTAAACCCTAATTATTCTGCTTCATTAACTTTTTTACACAATGTGTACAAATTTTGTCATCAACTTGCAGTTAACCAGTGTACTCAAAATTCAAAACAACTGCCCTGAGACATTTTATATTCATTTGCCTTTGAACATTTCTAGCAAAAACAGAGGAGGGGAGTGAAGGGAGAAGCACACCCTTTTAAAAAGCCTCTTCTTCATACCTTTAACTATGCAAACACAACTAAATTATCTACTAATTCATTTAAAGCAGCCTGGGTAGGCTAATTGACTTAACAGTACAGTATTTACAAAAGTGAAGAGGAAAGATTTCAGAAGTTCTGCCAAAATTTCTAGCTCTGGAAAACATAGATGTTACCCAGAAAGATTACACCAGTTGGATACAATATTGGATACAATATAAACACTTGCCCACAAATTACATCCTGGGTAATCCAACATGACCACCAATCTGTCTTTATGGATTTTTCTACTTTGGGGAAACTTGCTATGAACCCAGTATACTTTTGTATGCTTTGTTTAGGTTTATTTCACTGTACTGTACTTACATAAGGGATTTGCTTTGTTTTAGTTACAGTGCAATAAATTTCCCAAGAGATATATAGGTCAAAGTTTCTGAAGTCTAATGTTTGACATTCTCAATTTAAAGCTATGATTAATTAACAATTAACTCTTAATCATTATAGTTCAGATACTTGTCAAGCACTGGTATTTAAAAAGAGGAATATTTTCAACAAAAGCGTCAAAACATTACCTAATTCATCTGTCAGATCAATTCAAGCTTTGGGTCAGTAGTCTTATCAACTACCTTAAAATGTTAAAGAAACTAATAATCGTGTAATGAGTCTTCTATCAAGCAGGGAATCACCTACCTCCATCAGTTACTGAAATAATAAATTCAACAGATGGTAACTCAAATATATTAAAAGCGTTTTCCTCATCTCACCACGATACCCAATCAACAATCAAATTCCCTTGGTTTCCCAATTGTGTGAACCCAAGTACAGTTACTTCCACCTATTTGCAATAATATAAAGTTCCAGACTACATAAGTGTCTCTCTCCTTAACTCCTGCTCTCTTCCCTTCCCTCCAGGCCTTTGTCCTGGCTTATTTTCCTGCTTTGGTAACTTGACGTTAAGCCAGAATTCCCTGTTTCAAACAAATGGAAGGCTCTGGATTGATACAAGCCAGAATCTTCTCACCAAAGCTAGAGAACAATGGAAGGAGGCAAAGGCAGAGAGGCCTAATTCTCATTCTCAACTTTATAAACTAGTAACAGCTGGGTAAGAATACAAGTTCTTGCCCACTAGCTAATACTGCTCAAAAATCAAACAGCCTAGTTAATACAAAGGACATGTGTAATAGGAATCTTACCTGTCAAATTAAATTTCACTGTAACATTGATTATATGATGGACTTGTAGACAGTCATTTGTACTGAAATACTTCACACCTTTTGCTCAAGCTGTGAATACCTAAAAATAAAAAATATTAGTATAATTTTAAAATGGTATTAGAGATGGCATTTCCCCCCACTACAAAGCCATTTGAGGCTGTTTACCTGCTCTTAAGGTGGTAATGGCAATTTCCTAGCCACAGAAGTGGGCGAGGAGACAGTTTCAGTATTTGCCCCTTCCAATGAGCTCTTATTTACAATGAACTGACTGACAGTGCTGAAGGGCAATCAAGAATTACTTCCTCATTAGAACTTTGCCTAACTGTAAGCCCACTGGGTACCTGCATGCCCCAATTCCTCCATCCTAATTTGATCTTCCAAGTTCTGGAATTACTACAACATAACAGTACCTATGGAAACTTTCTCACTGTGGTTTCTTGACACAGGAAGGCTTAACAGTGCAAGCTTTTAGAATCTGTGTTTCACTCTGCCCAGTGCTTTACACAACAAAGAAAAGCTAAAAATTAAGGAAGTGATTGCATGCAGCTATGTCAACCAATATTTTTAACCATATCCATAAGCCCAATATGCTATATTTAGTGTCTTAATATGATTAATTATTATTTGTCTTTAAAAATGTAGCCAGAGAATAAAGCTAGCCCTCTTGTGACATCTCTTCTGCTTCTAAATGAAACCAGGCTATCGTCCAAATATAGTTAGACTGAAGTGATAATGTGAGAGAAGCAGAGTCAATTGAATGGCTGTTAAGGATTAGAAATTAAAATTTATACTGAATGCAGTTTTTATATTCTGGTTGCTTACAAAACAGACACAATTGGGCTAATCCCAAATATTTCACTAAACCATCAGCAAGCATATATGCACTAACTTTTCTCCCATTGCTTCAATTCACGTAAGATGTTTTTAAAAGAAACTTTATTAAAAAAAATTAAGTAAAGACATAATGCAAACAACATCAAACATACTGATACAAAAGAGAGAGAAAAGAAAAACTATAATGTGGTAATCCAGACATCCAATATAGGAAAGTCAATTTGTTTACCTTTTTTTACGTAATTTAAGATTCAAATTATGAATGAAAAGAGAAGTCCCCAATATGTTTCTTTGTTGTAAAAAAAAAAAAGAGAGATACACATATATTTGAAACTTACTTTGCAGACAGTGCTAAAGACTCTTCCTAACTTCAATTTTAGAATACTTGGATATCCACCATATCAAATTTCTTTCCAGGGTTGCATTTATTTAAATATTTTTTAAAAGACTGCTGATGTGGAAAAGGTTCCAGCAACAAGAGGCTTTTTTAATGTAAGTGGAATGGCTCAAGGGCAGAGTGCCATAAATTACAGCCTGATTTGCCAACAACAGGAGGCCCTGAAAAGATGCTAATCTGCCTGCATCAAGCAAAGCTTGAGCCTATTCGCTGCCTTCTAGAGTTGACCCCCAATCATACAACCACCAAGGAAGTACTACAGAAGGAAACATTCTAGGTCAGAGATGGAGTAACTCTGCACTGAGTGTTTTGCACACAGTGGAAAAGGCAAATGCTATATCAGACAACAACACTAGCTTACATATCAGGCTGATTTTATACCAATTATGAAAGAGCCAGGATTATTAAACTGTACATTGATGGAAACACCACTACAAATAAGTATTTGTGTCAAAGTCTTTCCTTCAAACAAAGTGTAGGTTCAGTATGTTGGGTTGCATTTAACTAAGTTCTACGCAGAGTAGACCAGGTAAAATTAAAGAACCTAAGTTAGACATGTTCATCAACTTCCATGGGTCTACACTTGAGTAGGACTAGCACAGAATACAACCCAATATCTGTTATTTATCATATCAGTACCGTGCCCTTTCCCAAAGGAACTCAGGGCAGTGTTGTCAAGGAACCATGTTTCTCTGTCATTTTAAACATGTCTAGCAGCTCGATGCAAAAGGAACTCCATTTTGTCTATGAATGTATGATAGGCTGACTTTTAGATACCCAGGGTAAGAAAGCCCTCCAGTAATATAGATTATGAAGGCATAAGACATAAGAGCCCTGGAATATGCAGGTGCCTTCCTCCCTGCCTAGGTCTTAATGGAATCAAATCATACAGGCACATCCATTTATCAACAATCGATCTAGAGTTCAGACTCCAGGGAATTTCCAGGGAACTGGAAAACCTACTAGGAAACAGATTAACACCCATTAAACTTAGGAACAATCAGTGTTAGAAACTCAGATAGGCTAGGGTGACTGTGGTTGATTATCAGTTAAACACCTGGTTAGTTCAGATTACAACCTTGAGCTACTTCATGTGCCCCAGGAACAACACATCAGGTATTTTTCTAAGTCTAGTATTTGGTCAGGGCTACTTCCCATTCCAGGGACAAGGGTGGTGCTGTGGGTTAAACCACAGAGCCTAGGACTTGCCGATCAGAAGGTCAGCGGTTCGAATCCCCACGACAGGGTGAGCTCCCGTTGCTCGGTCCCTGCTCCTGCAAACCTAGCAGTTTGAAAGCATGTCAAAGTGCAAGTAGACAAATAGGTACCGCTCCGGCAGGAAGGTAAATGGCGTTTCCGTGCGCTGCTCTGGTTCACCAGAAGCAGCTTAGTCATGCTGGCCACATGACCCGGAAGCTGTATGCCGGCTCCCTCGGCCAATAAAGCGAGATGAGCGCCCAGAGTCGTTTGCGACTGGACCTAACAGTCAGGGGTCCCTTTACCTTTACTTCCCATTCCAAAATGAAACAAGGATTGCATTCAACTTTTATTCAGAGTAGACCCATTAAAATTAGCAGCTAACTTAGGTCAACTAACTTCAGTGTGCCTACTCTGTGTAAAAGTTAGTTGGATATGACTGCATATCCCAACCTAACATTAATCCTAACTAACTGGCATCAGCATGAAATGTCACAAAACAAGCCCTTGAAAACAACCTTACAGTGCAGATGTGCTGATGCCCTTGCAAAGATAAGAAAGATAAATTACAGTTGCATACAAGCAGCAACCCTGAAACAAATATCAGGAGGTTTTAGTGTAAGCAGGACCAATGAAAAAAGTGCAAATGAGCCAATGCACGACAATATCAGTGGAGGACACTGAACAGCAATATTAAGGTATATTCATTACTACATTTGGTGGCAAATTACAAGCATGTGGCACATACCAAAAGACACACACCCCACTCCTTTTATACTTTTCATAATCTTGCCTCTCAGCATTATAAGAAGTGCTATGCCTCCTCAGAGTATAAAACATATATAGGGGTTCAAGATACACACCAGTTCCATCACTGTGATCAACTAACCTTCTGTTGCATTGAAATGACCCTTTTTTCCTAACCTACTTGAGACAATCTCAGGTTGATTGATTGTGGGTGAAAGGAAAGAAAGAGAATTTTTTAGAAGGCATGTAATCCAGAGAAGTCAGAGAGACACTTGTAGTAGCATAAATATGTGCATTGCTAAGGACCCAGTACTGTAGTTCTAAGGCTTGTAATCTAAGCCATACTATGATGTGGGGTGGAAAAATAGCCATTTGATAAGTTCATTAGGAACAATGAATGGATACCAATTATAAATACAATATTAAGGAAGGTTGGCAGTAAGTTGTATTAAATGATTTTCATCTGATTATCCCTACTAAGTATGTGAGAGAATAAATGTATAGCACTGTTTTGTAAATTGGAATGAGAAAAATAAAAATGGGAGGTCAATAGCAATCACTAATCCTCCCCCCACCCACTTAAATTTAAACAACACAAGGGAAATACATGCTATTGTCTTTTAATTTTTTAAAGTATTTGAATAAAAATGTCCATACAATGTAACATTTAACCATATTAAGTATGTTTTAATTTCCCCTTCAAATACTGTATTTCAAGTCAAAACTTGTGTTGTATTGGGACCAAAATAAAAACAGGGAATACTTTCAATGTTGTTTTCTAAATACAAATAAAACAAACATGTTAGAATAGGAAAGCACGTAGTTTTCCAATGTAAACTGAAACTTTCTGATGACAAGAGCTGTTTGATGGAGGAGCAGACTACCTTAGAACATGGTGAACTCTCTCTTTTTAAATAGACATTGGATGGCCAATTATGAGAGATTTTTCAGTTATGGTTCCTGCATTTCAGGGGGTTGGAAGAGACTTTACAATTCTATGAATCTATTATTTCCCTAAGAAATTAGTCTAATTTTCATTTTTCAATTCAAAATTCTCAAGAAAACACCACTAAAGCCATCTTCTTTTAAAAATGAATACAACCCCACTTCTGTCCAAATATGCAGTTCAATGCTGGAAAAATCATACATATGAATGAAACACGGTGAGTACACTTCCACAATAGCTCTTCTGCTTAATATATATATGGTTGCACATCCTTAAACTCAGGCTCTGCTAAGTATACAGATCACCCAAGAGAAGCAGGCAAGTAAAACTAGCCCCATCAATAAGAAATAGGCAGAATGATGGAGATACCAGAAAAAGCCTCTCTGAAGTGAGGTTTATACAGATATAAAACTTGATGAGCTTTTCAAGCAATTTGCCTACCCGCCCCCAGCACAGATTATGCAGAAATTCTTCCATAAGGATTTAACTGCTCGAGTGTCCTTACTTTTCATTCCTCCTGATTTTAGTTATGCATACCAATTATCTTCTATTCTTTGTATATATGGTCCTTGATTATATGTAACATTTTATTGATTTATTAGTTTGGGGCTGGGGAGGAAGAGTACAGAAATTTACAAATAAATAATATTGCATAGATTTGTTATATTACACAGTGACCTTCCCAAAAGATATACCAGGTTCTTCAGTTTCACCCCTACACCTCTGAGGCGGGAAGGGTTCACACTGCAGAAGATATGTTCTCAGTTGCAACAATATTCCATACATCAGGGGTCAGCAAAGTTTTTGTGACTTGGGACTGTGTGGCGCAGACTGGAGTGTGTGCTGGAGTGTGTGTGTGTGCGCGTGCGCACATGCGCAAACACTATTTCCAACGCTCCTTCTGGCGTGAAGGAGGCGCACACAGTTTCCCATTGGCTGCAGGAGCTTTCTGCAGCCA